ACTTTTCAAGCTAATGGTCATTGTCATGATGTACATTCTGTGGAGCTGAAGTTGTCATTATTATCTTTTCTCTCAAAAGTTCAACAGACTTTGCTAGTTGAATTTTTGGTTTCTAAAATGGCGTATAAGTTTTGAGGGCTTCAATGCTTTTTTTTTTGTAGAATATTAATCCACACTTGGTACACTGGGCTCTCGGCTTTGCCTCATTGCTTCTATTCACAAAGCTGTATTTAATTAAGTCATGGCTACAGTTGTGCTGTTTTTGTTGTTGGGTTTTTTTTCCTTTTCGTGTGGTTTGGCACAACAACAATTTCGATTTTGGTTTTGAAATACTGATCATGATTTTAGTTGCGCAATGTCTTCAACAACTTCAACTTCAATTTGCAGGTAAGTAACATTGACCTTGTAGCAAGAAACATTGTTTTCTTAACTGAGCTTCTCCTTGTCAACAGCAACAGCTAATTTGTCTCTAACTCTTTCGGGGACAACGGTTACTAGAGTGGACAGCTCTTAACATGCTGTTTTCTCATATATTAATTAATCTTAATGTCACAGTTGTGTATCAACCTCTACAATGGACCCTTATGTGTGTTGCCATCCACTGCCATTATTTTTTTCATGCCTAGAGATGAATAAAAACACTTGAGAAAAAAAATCCTGATGTCGGTTATTATTTGTGCATGAAAGGGTTAATTAGTTACAACACTGCCCCATGTCCAACAGTGGCAAAATTAAAATTATTCTGAAGCCTACTTGCTGGCACTTGCAGGCCAATTTTTTTTAAGAATGACTGCTTTCGAGTGGCCTCCAAGTATTCACACTTCTAAGTTTCCAACTCTATTTCGCCCCACTGCACCAGTCTAGCCTCACAAGAAACAACTCCAACCGATGTAAGTTTTAAGTAATAACAACCATACTATGTCCTTCAGGTCAGTATCTTTAGCTATCATCTTGGTATAGGGGTGGAAGATACGTGACTGAAACAACCAGTAAAAATTTGGCATTGCAACATCTAATTGGTAATTTTCTGACTATTCTACAACCTCAACATCTGATCGGCTGAGCCTGAAAGAGGATTGTGTGCCAGGCAGTGACTCTATATGGTTCTGGCTGCCTATTGTCAACAGGTAGTATCCAAAACGGCCCTGCAGTTGGTAGCCATCAGCCGTCAACAAGTGCTCTTCAAGAGCTTTTTTTTTTTTTTGTCACGTGTTTTTTTTGTCACGTGGTGTTTGTTGTCATTTTGTGTGGACCCGAAGTGTACTGTTTTAAGCATTTTTGGCTACACATTCGCCAAAGGAGAAGAATCTGTATGTGGTGGTTGCGGCTTCTTGGAAGGAATGTGGGCTCTATTTGACTGTTGCCACTGGACATCCCCGGGGCGCTTGTGTTTTTGCGCCTGTAACGGCCAGCATTTTTCACAGCCCCGTTTTGTTGAGCGGAGATGTTGGCGCTGTTGGACAGTCTGCGCTGGTGCAGTTGGAGCGTCGGCGCGGGGCGCGGCTGCATAGTTGGAACTGGGAGTCTCCGCTTGGAATTGAAACGGATTTACATGGGACAGGAGAAGTTAACCAATCTCTTTTTTTGTCGATGGACGCTACAGCTTCTTGTTTATTTTGAAACTTAGCTTGTAGCCGACATGTGCACATTTTGAGTATGAAGTCTCTGATTCACTGGTGAAAGGACACATCGAGAACTGCTTCAAACAACAAAATGTACGCAGGAAAAGTGATTAAGATTGCACGACTGTCCGTGTTTTTTGTTTTGTGTTGTGTTAGATTATTTACGTAGTTATTTTATGTTAACTGTTTTATTAACTGTTTGGTTACAGCTGCAGTTGTTGCGAAAGTGCTATATAAATAAAGATGTATTGTACTCACTACTTGATACTGCACCTCTCTTAAAACACTACTCATAGGTATCAAATCACCCAGAATAAAATATTTTAAATGAGATGAGTAGACGCCAACATCTATTCACAATGTGCCCAAGGACATATGGACAACTACATGCATGCCACGCGGGCCTTTCATCCAGTTCACAGTTTTTGGACCGGAGTCACTGAAAAGCTCTCTCCATGTTTGGACCACAGCATTCAACTGTAACCATCACTCTGCTTTGCTATGAAACACTACAGAAATAGATCTTACAACTAAATACAAGAACCCATTATTGGTCTCTCTGGCTATTGCAAAGAAAATAATCTTTCAAAATTGGAAAACTAAAAATTTGATCCACATAAGCCACTGCCTCAACTACAATCCATACACTGCAATAGAAAAACTATTGGCTCAAGAAGAAATATGTCAGCCTTTAATGATAATAATGGATTAATTTCAGTTCCAAACCTGGCCCATCAAAACTAAACTGAGACAAAACTATTTAAATCACTCTCCATAACACCTTACCCCATAAGTCAAAATGAAACACGCCACACCTTTCCGTTCTTGACCTACACTGTCGCGCCACAAATGTTTTTTTTTTTTCTTCCTCTACACCAGGGGTGGCCAACCCACGGCTCGCGAGCTGCATGCAGCTCTTTGGCTGGTTCAATGCGGCTCCCGGACTTTCACACAACAATTGTTGAAAACGCCTCAGCGACGGCGCTGCCATTCAAACGAAGGCGCTAAATACACAGAACGTACTACGTCAGCCTATCAGCAATCCCGTTACTTGATTGACATAGAGGGCAACAAATCAGATGACTGCATCACCGTCATAAGCAAACAACGGCACTTAAGCGCTAAGCTATTCAGCGAATTACGTCTGATTTTAAGGCAGGGGTGCCCAATACGTCGATCAGAATCGACCGGGAGCCAGCGAACTGGTCCCAAGTCGACCGCAAGGGGTGGGAGGAGGAAATGGGTGGGGAAAAAAAGATTTGTTTGTTTGTATCTTTAGCTTTGTTCATTTTCAGCCCGTTCCAACTGTTGCTCATCGTGGTGTGCGTGCATATGTGCGCGAGTGCACTGGTGGGCACCCGTGTGTGTGTGTGTGTGTGTGTGTGTGTGTGTGTGTGTGTGTGTGCGCGCGCGCGCGCGTGTGTGTGTGTAGGTATGCTTGCACGTGCGCGATCGGGTCGTTCGTGGGAAGTTGGTCGCTTCAAAAATCCATCTCTTCGTCTCTGACTGGTTGGCCACCCCTGCTCTACACCCCCTCACGATCGACTTGGGACCAGTCTGCGAGCTACCAGTCGATCGCAATCGACATAATGGGCACCCCTGGTCTTTCGGCATGAAAGAAAAAATAACGGCAGTGGATGGCAACACACATAAGGGTCCGTTGTAGTGGTTGATGAACAACTGTGACATTAAGATTAATTAATATAAGGGAAAACAACATGTGAATAGCTGTCCACTCTAGTAACCACTGTCCCTGAAAGGGTTAATGCCACTATCAAATATGTCCTTGGTATCCCTATGGCATTGTTTTGATCATTTTCTCTTATCCTCCTAATTATTATTATGTTTTTAATCATCATATTGCCATAATCCTCCTCACTAACATATGAGACACTTGTACAAATTATTGTAATTATTATTTTTGTGATTAAATATATTTGTTATACTGGATTGTTTCCTCTTTGTCAGGTTGTATGTTTTTTAATCATTAATATTGTATTTCTTTTTGTCTGTCTTTTTATTATCATATACAGTAATCCCTTGCTACAACACCCTTCATCCTATCTTTTTTTTTTTTTTTTTTAAACAGTGGATTGTGTTCTGCATCCTGATTGGCTGAGGGACTAATATCAACAATCTCCACGCCTCATCAATGTACAGCTTGCCAAATTTTCTTCATGTTAAAACCCACAATGTTGACGAAACATTCTTTGCGGTATTTCTAAAAACTGTCAGTTGTTTGTAAGAATTGTTTTTGTTTTTTTTTTTTTTCATGCTTGGGCCCAAAAAAAGGTTTACTCTTTGGTTTGATTCAATACAGTATTATATTGTTTACGGAATAATTGTAAAAAATGAAGATGACTACTTCGCGGATTTCACTTGTCACTGGTACTTTTTGGAATGTATCCCCCGCCATAAACGAGGGATTACTGTATACAGAATGTGGATTATGTTCTTCCTTCCCTTAAAATGTTTATTTTGGTCATACTAAGTAGATTTATTAAAGGTGACAGTCGTGCCTGTGGTGGTCGGAGCACTCGGGGCAGTGACCCCCAAACTGGATGAGTGGTTGCAACAGATCCCGGGAACAACATCGGACATCTCAGTCCAGAAAAGCGCAGTGCTGGGAACAGCAAGGATACTGCGCAGAATTCCTCAAGCTTCCTGGCCTGTGGTAGAGGACCCGAGCTGAATGGGGAGGGGACGGACACCACCTGAGGGGTGAGACGAGGATTTTTTTTTTTTAATATAAAGTAATCCCTCGCTATAACAAGGTTCACCTTCCGCGGCTTCGCTGTTTCAACACCCTTCATCTTTTCTTTTTTTTTTTTTTTTTTAAACAGTGGATTGTGTTCTGCATCCTGATTGGCTGAGGGACTAATATCAACAATCTCCACGCCTCATCAATGTACAGCTTGCCAAATTTTCTTCATGTTAAAACCCACAATGTTGACGAAACATTCTTTGCGGTATTTCTAAAAACTGTCAGTTGTTTGTAAGAATTGTTTTTGTTTTTTTTTTTTTCATGCTTGGGCCCAAAAAAAGGTTTACTCTTTGGTTTGATTCAATACAGTATTATATTGTTTACGGAATAATTGTAAAAAATGAAGATGACTACTTCGCGGATTTCACTTGTCACTGGTACTTTTTGGAATGTATCCCCCGCCATAAACGAGGGATTACTGTATACAGAATGTGGATTATGTTCTTCCTTCCCTTAAAATGTTTATTTTGGTCATACTAAGTAGATTTAATGATTTTGCTTTTGATTATTTTGTTTTGTTTGTTTGGAAAAAAATGGATTGTTTACTATTGTAATAAATACTGTATTCTCTTAGTTCTATAATTAATGTGAAGGAGACCGTCCCTGGAAACTAACCTCACTGAGGGGTGGCCATCTTGAGTTTCAAGGACAACCTTCCTCGACCAAATTTGAGCAGTCAGGACCGTGAAGCCATGTGATTTGTTCCACTGGTGACAAACAGAGCAATTGGAATTAATCCCACGAGGTGATGACACTCACCCACACCAAACAACTATAGGAAGTTTGAAAGCAGTCAAGCTAACTCCCTGCTTCGATTCAATTCTGGCTAGCTACAGAAACAGTCAGACTGGACTGTGAGAATCATCACTTACCGGGTCAACAGTTGTCTCCGCCTGGCACAGAGCATCCTTGGAATCAATAATAGTTTGCTGGGCTAATTCTGGTGAATTATTCAAGAGAAAAAGAGTACAATTCAGTTCTCTGGGAGAAAATAAGGTGGACCCAAGCTATTACTTTTATCATCAATCTCTTCATGGAGCTGAACTAAGTAGTCTTGCAACAAATTTAATTATTTAAAGTAATGTAAAAGAAAATTTGTGGAGCAGTTTTTAATTAATTAATTATTTTTTTTAAATTAGGTAAATGTGTCTACAAATGTATTTTCTCAGTTCTGCTTCCTTCATCTAAAACAGAAGTAAAGGCAGACGCTATTGTCATATTTTTTCGTCTTACGTTGATACAAATATTGTTGAATATTTTTGCCACCCTTTGAAAAAAAAACGGCAAAAAGTTGATAAATAAATGGTGTTTTTGATGTTGATGAGATAAGGAACAACGCCTGGCAAAATCGAAGCAAAAAAGTAATTTGCACTTGATTTTTGCGTGATCACAAATTGTTGGTTTCAATAAGATTCCAGATTAGATTAAAATCAGAATTCATATATCTACTATATAACTACTTACTTCAGACAGCATACCAACGTCAAATGCACCTTGTCTTCAGTTGTGTCGAAAATCCAAATCATCCCCAAAAAAATGAACATTTGTAAGATGTCTACTAAATTTATGATCAGGCAAAAAAATTCCTTCCAAACAGTTTGGCAGTGACTGAGATGTGACACGTTAGGTGTTTGTGTGCTTGGATGCTTTGCAACGTTAGGGAGATAAAACATCATTTTTCTCCACCTGCTCTCAGTTGATAAGGCCATTTATGGGTTGATGCTCAAATCTCACGTCACCATTTATCTACCAAAAACACTCAGGTTTTAACATTCCCGCGACACACAAGACACACTCTACATACTTTGAATACATAATAAATTACTCTATTTTGTTTTACCTTCAACACGGAGTGACAAGGCAGGATCACATCAGATTGTCGTCATCTCTCACTTCCCTCTTTTTAACCAATCGGTCATCATTTGATTGAGCCACACCAAAATCTGGAAAAAATTATTTATGTTTTGCTTTACATTTACTTATTTATTTATTTTCCAAGGTGGTGTCGTAGTTGACAGCTGTCGGCAAGTGCTCTTCAAGAGCCTTGCTTTTTTTTTTTTTTTTGTCTTGTTTTGTCACTTGATGTTTGTTGTTACGTCATTTGGACCCGAGGTGAATTGTTCTGGTTGTTTTTTTTTTTTTTGGCCACAACATTCATCAAAGGAGAAGAATCTGTGTTTGGTGCTTGCCTGATATATTTGCAATGTAAAATGAGTTTTCGTGCATGTTCACACCTTTCAGAGTTGTGTTGTTTTCTTGGCGAACGGTGCTTTGAGTAAACATTCACAAACTTTGTGTTGCAACATCACAAAGGCCTAAAAACTCTTCTCAGGAAATATGAGGTAAATCTGGTCTACCCGCTCAAAGAAAAACATCAAAATGTTGCCACTGCCACGATTAAAAAAAATAACTTTGTAGATGTCTTCAGGCCGAAACTCATCAAATGTGTCAAATATCGACAAGATACAGTATTATCATGTGGGTCAAGTTACAGCAGCCTTTGTGGTCAAGGCAACACCATTTTTTTTCATTTTTAACAATTTATAGACGTCCATTTCTCCAAGTACAGTTGCCTTTAATCTGATCTACTTAATTTTCAAAAAATTCCATTGTGACAGTACCTCAACATTGCCGGCGCTGCGAAGACTTTTTATAGCTGCTCGCAGCTCTAGTTATTGTTATTATTGTTGTAATTACTATTGTTTTTATTATGATTATTATTATTAGTCGATGATCGCACTTTTAATCCTTCCAATTTCTTACTCAATCATGTGCAGTTTTGACGAATTTAAATGTCCCCCCTCGCTAAAAAACAAGTTATAACCCTAACTTTACACTCTTCTACACTATCTTGTCCGCCTTGTTTGCAAGAAACCCCGTTAATCTCACCCTTTAAAAATGGTTTGGTTATTTCATTAAATTTTTGGATTGTTTGTGCCAGGTCAAAATTCTGGATTATTTCTTGTGAAAATCAACTATTTGCTGGTTCAAATTAAACATTTATGGGGTTGTATCCGGTCGAGTGGTTAGCACGTCGACCACACAGTGCAGAGGTCGTGGGTTCGATCCCGGCTAAGGCCTTCCTGTGTGTAGTTTCCATGTTCTCTCCTGTGCCTGCCTGGGTTTTCTCCGGGTACGCCGGTTTCCTCCCACATTCCAAAAACATGCATGGCAGGCTGATTGAACAGTCCAGATTGTCCCGAGGTGTGAGTGTGAGCGCGGATGATTGTTCGTCTCTGTATGCCCTGTGATTGGCTGGCAACCGGTTCAGGGTGTCCCCCGCCTACTGCCCGAAGACGGCTGGGATAGGCTCTGGCACCACTCGCGACCCTAGTGAGGATAAAGAGGATCGAAAAATGGATGGATGGGTTATCTCCCTGTAATGTTTTTGTTAGGTCAAAAAACCTTAAGTATGACTGGAGGCCATGACAGCCATCATCGTACTATGGCTACACGCTCAGAACCGTGATCAAGTCAACTACACTTTTGACATTTTGATGTCTTCATTTATCACCTTTTTGGTCAGTAATTTACTCATTTTACTCTTTTGAAAACCATCAAATTGCCTTGTAACTGCATGTGTTTTGGACAAGGCAAGAGCGGGAATCATCAGCTCAAACGCCTCGAGATGGTCATACTTTGTGACGCAGACAGGAACCCCACAGCAGTAATTTACTGTACATCTGTTTTATAGTTCATCTGACCCTTCTCGCCTCCAAATAGAATACACTGTTAATTTTCCGACAATTCGCCATTTTGTCTGCTGAAGCAAGAGGTTCTCGCATAAAATTCAAGTTAGATTTAGATAAGTTAGTCAGCATAATCATACATTGCACTCTTTATTTTGCACTTATTTATGTCTTTTTGATGTTTGGATGCCAATGACGTCGTACTACACTTCCATCTTAAAAACGTGTTTGTGAGAAAGTCATGACCACATCCAACTCAATGGCTACAGGCCACTTTGGTTGATAACGCAGTAAGTCAAATAAAATGTATGGTGGTTAATTTGCAACTCGCCACCAAGCGTTTTGCCGTGAATTGCATGAGACCTACAAATTCTGTGCTGGTTAAAGTGGTCCAGCTCATGCCATAGTGCAGGGGTCTCAAACTCATTTTTGTCGGGGCGCGTAGTTACGGTTTCTCTTGGAGGGCCGTTATAACTGTGAATTTTGGAATGGGCTTGTCCCACAGCAGCCGCATTTCACTCTTCGCCTCCTCCTCCTCAATGAAGATTAATTGTCTTTTCATACACGCATCGGCCGCGCGGGGATAGTTGGCCAGGAGCTAGCTGGAGGCCAACGGCGGCTACACCGTCAGAGCGTCAAGTGAGAGCCGTCTTCTACGCCACCAACACAAGTCACTTCGCCTCTCTCAGAAGGCAATGCTGATGTATGTTAATTACTGTATAAGGTTTTATAATTAAAGATCTCTGTGAATACATGTACCGCTGTAGTGTTTGTCTCAAATATGTGAAGTATAAATACTGTTTACATATTTTCAACATGCTGGTACTTACAGAAAAATTCCTAGGGGTGTGTGTGTGTGTGTGTGTGTGTGTGTGGTTGGGGCAAACTGTACTTCGCGGTTTTTCAATTATCGTGGCCGGTTCTGGTCCCTATTAACCACGACAAGTGAGCGATCACTGTACTTTGTTGCGCATGAACTGCTACATCGTGTGCATAAAATTGTTGCAAGGTTTGCATGAAGTAGTTTGAAGGAGCCATGGCTGGCTTGCGGGTCACTTTAACAGGAAATTCAAACGCACTTTCTTTCAAAGTTGAAAGTGAAAGGAAAGGTGGACAGGGACGGTGTGGTCGAATTTTATTTTAGGCTGGGGAGACATCATGAAAAGCCTGGTATTGCAATGAATCATTACAGTATCACCGAGACATTTGTTGAGAGCCAGGTTGCTTTCCCGGTGGTGGTCGGACCTGGACGCCAGGATCGATTTCATTGTGCAGCAACAGCAAGAATCTGAGATGGTTAACGGTGGATGTATCCGAAATGTAATTTTTTGTCATAATATCACTATTTAATGTTGGTATAAAATAAAAATGTAAGATGCAATAATTTCTGGCTCTTGGAAGGCACTCGGCTTCAGTGAGACGCGAGTCTGTGAAGGTGCGTTCGATTTGCACAAAATAGTTACGGCGTGCAGGAATAAATAGATCGTGCACATGAAATACTGAGTAGTCTGCACGAATAAGTTGCTTGTGCGCACAAATTAGAAGTTCGCGCGCATAAACTATTTTTTCCTAATGTTATGTCTGGGGCCTGCGTCATACTCTAACAGTGGTTGTGTTCGTCGAGTGAGAGTGCGTTCCGCTCCTATTCATTTCCGAACACAGCCGGTATTGGCGAACCGTGTCGACAGTAGAAGCGCCTCGTATGCGCACCGGCAATCCGAATTTCGTGCACTCTGAATATCGGAACGGCAGTTTTGAGCAACGCTCTGAGTTTACAAACGGTCGTAGTGAACCAATGTGTGCTCAGACAGTATTTCCAAAAGCACCCCACGTTTGCGAACCGTGGGCTGAGGGGAGGGGTGGTTTAGGGAGGACTTTCATCGTCAAGAGGAAAACAAAAACAATGTACACGATTTTCATGTTTGTGACTGATAAACTGTCACAACTGATGATTGTATGTAAATTTTTTCATGAGGGTCGTCGTAATTTTATGTGTCACTTTTGCATCTCGTCGAGTTATATTTTCTTCATAATAGCCAGAAGTGACACTACTTCCGGTTTGATGTATTGAAAAAGAAGGCTCTCTACAAAGACACATTTTTATACAATTATGTAACCCCTTGGGTTATAGACATACACGGTCGTGAAAACGTCATCGTTTTTTAAAATTAAGTATGAAAATAATGCACAGACTATCAAGTAAATTTGGTAATTTGTTGATCAAGATTGCATGAATAATTTGAACTCTCAAACATATGAACAAAGAATAAATTAGAGCTGGACGATCATAAAATGATCAATTTTGTCGATATTTTGACGACTATGCCTGCTCTCCAAATGCAGTGTTGCTCTTTTTTAATTTGGTAAAAAAATTACCTGGCTTCCGGATTTAAATTTTATAGATTAGTGGAATTTCCCGTTCTGTTGAGTACAGCTCGTGCTGAACTGTTATGATGTGTCAATGAGTTAAAAAAAATGTGGACGGCACCGATAATGAGAGGCCCTCGTTGTACTTGAACGGGGGGAAAAAGGAAGGTAAGTTAAAATATTAAATAATTAATTATGGCAAAGAACATGGTCTTTTATCGATTTTCCGGACAAACTCTGCCGTAACTCATCAGGCTCACCGTTTATCATCGTGAAAATGTTAACTGCTTTGGAGATATTTGCCCGTTGGCCTTGTCAATATGAAAAGCGACTGACTTTGTGTTATGTTGTATTTGTGATGTATTTTCGCTTCTATTCATAAACTACCATGTAAAATATTTGCATCACTCACAACTGCAATCCGTGAGATGGTATAATTTACCCCATCCGGTACATGTCCGCATCACTGCTCTCACCAAATCCGATGTAAAACAACTGTTGCCAAAGTATTCATATCTCAGTTCGTCAGTGTAATGTGCTGTATGATTTTGAACAAACTCGCCCTGTTCTTATCATTCTGTCTTAAAACTGTGGCACAGTCAGTTAGCATGGGGTAGCGCTAGCGAGCTAACTAGCTACTTTAATTCCTAAAAAAATGGCTACAGTAGTAGCTACAGTAGAGTAGAATGGTGCACACAAATCCATATGCATGTTTAGAATAGCACCAGTGACATTAATAAGTTGAGCTTTTTTGAGGGTAAGTAATACATGTCAGGGGAATTGCCGCTGGGGAGCTTGACAGTGTGAAATACTCTTATACTGTACTTGGGTTCCCTCCTCGAAACCAAAGCAAGATGGACTCATTTTCGGCTTTTTAGAGCGTGGATCGAATTTTGAAAGGTGATTAAAAATTGTCAGCATATTAATTGTAGAGCACTGTGTGTTGTATATATTGTATTGTATTGTATTCGCCCGATCCACATGCAGAAACAAGAAATGCTCGATACTGATGATGTCCGATCGAGTTATGTTGACTGAGATCTCAGCTACATCAGCAGGATGTGTTATTCAATATTCGTTCTTAAAATTTCTTTGCTTAAAACGACAACAATGATGGCGAAAGAAATGTTACACAGATAGCCAGATAATGGATCTAACTCAGAACTGTGTTTTGTATTTTATAGGACATTGCATAGCAAAAAGGCTTTGGCAGAGACATCTTCATCACACATTTCCACACTCTCATCATTTCATCAGTAAGTACCCAAATTTTCACTGAACAGTCTTACAGACAAGTGCTGGCGTTTCTTGAGATCTTCTCTCAGAATATTGCACCCATGTCATGACTGTCAGGATTTTAATGACAGTGTTCAATATTCTGCTTGCGAGCATTACATGACCAAACCCAGAAAACAGGTTACCTGTGACGGTCGTTACCTGATCCCTTAGGCACTGTGATGTCATTTTCAGTCTGCAGCAAGTGGCAATACATGGCACAATCGAAGCCCCCTGAGATGGATCAAAACGGGTGGAGTTTTCTGCTTCACTCATAACCTACAAACACAGTATTGATTAGTGTTTGCACTAGTGGGTAAGCATAGAGCATATTATTGTAAGACCATTTCATAATTAACTTCCCCTTTTATGTGCAGGGTTCTATGTTTAACCTTTTCGGGTGGTAGTTTTTTTGGGCCACCATGAGCCAAATTGTGGTGGCCCTGCCAGAACCAGCACCGGTTGCTTATATCACTGCCGTTATGCCGATACCTCATCTGTCAGAATTTGGTCAATGGAATAATTTTTCAAAAATCCATACTATTACCGTAGTCATTCCCCACTTGTGTGTTCTGTTTATTATTTATTTCGCCAATTTTGTGTGTTGAAGATGGCTTTCTTTCTTTGAGAAGTAATGTCAAAGATTGAACAAAAATACAGCTGTTGGGCTCAAATGAAATGTGATGATCACAACACAGCACATCAACAGAACTTGTCACTTCATCACCACAAGCACAATACCACCTAACAAAATAAAAGATTACTCTAATATTAAGTAATAGAAAATAGTAAATATCATGATTCATGATAAAGATAACCTAATTAATAATGAAACGTAATGGTAAAATTGTAGATATTATATATTAATATGTATTTATGAAACTTGTTGAGTCATTTGTATTTTTACCTCTGTGTCCAGTCTATATAGACCAGGGGTGTCCAAACTTTTTTGACTGAAGATCTACTTTTCGATCAACCAACCTCTCGGGATCGATCTGTTACCGCGCACGCGCGCATACGCACGCACGCATGTACACACGCATGCCATGATGAGCAACAGCGTAACGCTGAGGCATGCGATGTACTTTTGCAGCCTGTTAACGATCGGAGCTCACGCGTACCATTTTAAAATGCTTCTGTTGGCCCTCCAGATTCCCATTCTTTGCCCGTCTCCTCGGTGAATTGTACGAAACAAACTCTGTATGAGAATAATAACGATAAAAGATTAGCGCAACAACTCTGAGCACAAGCTGCAACTGCAGACTGCTGAGCGCTAACAACTTCTGGTGACGCAGTCACACGCCACCGTAGGTTAAAGATGGGACCAGTCCCTGATCTACTGGTCGATCACGATCGACGTAATGGGCACCCCTTATATAGATACACAGTCGATCACACAATAAAATGAATTTGAAAAACGAAATGAATAAAATGAAAGAAAAATATCTAGTATGCTTAAAAAGCCCCAGTTAAAATTTTTGATTATAAAAGTTATTTTTAAGACCAACGTATGTGCTATCTCCTTGTTTTTTATTGTTTTGTTTTTATGATGTCCGGTCCTTGAACATGGAACACACGGCGCCGTACAAGCTTTTAGGGACGTGTCATAAGGGCCCGTTTTGCAAATTTGTTGTTCCCCAGAATGCATTGTGTGGGGCAATGCGTTTAAGTTGTAAGGGTAAATCCTTGTCATATGTGTTTGTGTTACTAGTAGTTAAATGTGTCACGCATAAATAATTTGTGTTGCACTTTTTTCAACAACTCGTAACATTAGGTTGCGTGTAAAATAATGACATCAAGGTCACTTCCCTAACCACAGTTGAGGTGCAATAAACAAGATGTATCTAGTCAGCGGAAGCTAGTGGATGCGTCCAGGCTTTGCCAAAAAAGAACATCTTGGTGTGTTTATCATTGACCCAAAAATAATACATCTTCCCATTTCCTTCCTTCGGCAAGTTTCACGGGCGGACCAACATATTTCACTCTTCTCAGGCACCAAGTATTTTTTAAATTTAGAAGATAATGAAATCATCCATCCAACCATTTTCTGATCCGCCAACCTTGCAAGGGGCGCGGGGTGTGCCACAGTCTATCCCAGCTGTCTTCGGGCAGTAGGCGGGGACACCCTGAACTGGTCACCAGCCAATCGCAGGGCACACATAGACAAACAACCATCTGCGCTTACACTCACAACTATTTAGACTTTTCCATTAAGCTGCCATGCATGTTTTTGGAATGTGGAAGGAAACCGGAGTACCCGGAGAAAACCCAAACAGGCACGGGGAGAACACGCAAACTCCACACAGGAAGGCCGGAGCCGGAATCAATCCCTCACCTCTGCACTGTGAGGCGGATGTGCTCACCAGTCGGCCACCTGTCTTTCTTGTATCTTCAATTAAATATCGGTTGAACATGATTTGCAAATCATTGTATTCAGTTTTTCATATGTTTAACACAATGTTTCAACTGAATTGGAATTGGGTTTCTACTATAGTTTGGAGCGTATATTGACACACAGACACACTCACCACTGATGTGACACTACAAGTGAACCGCGGACCGCTCCATTCACAAAGTCCAAACATGGGCATAGTTTATGAGCCCCTTAAATGAGTCTCTTTTGTGCTTTTCAGAGGTCAGATGACTATACATTTTTGTTTTATTAAATGACGTTTTCCATTATGGATGAGTGGGCAAGGTGGGACCATGTTGACAGTTTGTCTTGATTGAGAATTAATTGTGCTTAAAGTGGTCAAACAAAGTAGGACTGATTTTATTCGTGTCACAAATCTCTATTCCGTGATATGATCTAGTTTGATGTATAGGGTTTCAATTTTTTTTTTGCAACATACCTACATCATGTAACTTGTATTCTCAGGTTTTGGACAGCTTATGATACTGGTTTGTCCACCGTTGCATGTCTGATGTTCCTCACTGTGGTCCAATGAATGCTCAAGCAGTTTGTGTGACTGCTCAGATGCATGAAAAATGTTAATTAAGTCAAATTATTTGCATAGGCCAAGTTTTAAAGGGTTTCACAGGACCAGTTAACAATAGCGGGTTTCTATTACAGTTTTTGACAAAATGAAAGTGATATTTCTACAATTTTGGGAAAGAGCAATTGCGACTTGTGTTTCCATTGAAGAGTGTTTTTGCTTCTGAAACCTAATTCTCGTAATGTCCCATCTTGTGATATCTCATTATTCTTGTAAAATCTCATCAAATGTTTTTTTTTTTTGCGAGACTCGTGATAGGGCATGAAACCTTTGAAGGTGAAACGTGTCAATAGGGTGGGGCCTGTGCACCACGTGGTACAATTCTACGCGGGGGGCGTGGCGGCTCCAGCGGAGGGTGATCCCGCACTGGGTCATGACAGTGCCCATCCGGCCGAGCAAACTTCCCCTGCCACAGTGCGTTTTTCTGATATTTTAGTTTTTTTTTTTTAATTTCTGTGTTTCCGTTACCAGTGTGTAGAGGTAAGATCTGTCCTAAAAAAATCGAGCCCGACCCGACCGGGCCCGAGGGTATTAAAGCCCGACCTGGCCCGAGCCCAACCAATGAACTTGATTTGCAGGCCGGAGCCCGAAGCAAACCCGAAATTTCATATTTTATTTGTGAGTATTTTTGGCAGAAAAAACGCAAAATTTCTTAAGGTTAAAATAATCTACATATTTTTATGAACATGATAAATGCATTTACACAACGAAATAACACTGAAATACAGAATAAGAGGCCAGACAAAGAGAGATCTTGATGCGCATTTTCTTCAAGACGCAGAGAAATCCTTCAGACCACTAGGCTTTAAATAGAATAATTCGAATCAAATAAATAGGTAAAGATATATGAAATTATTTCTATACTCTTGTTTAAACAAAATTTAACATAAAAGTTTCAATTTTCGTTATCTGTAATTTGGTGTGACACGTGCGCAGTGCATGCTCAGCATCTGGCCGTCTGCGGCTGCGCTCCCGTTTAGTAGTTAAATAGCAATTACATTACAGCGCCTTCTCTGTTTTATCCAAATTGTTTGTTTTAAAACAAGTATTCCTTAGTTTAGTATCCGCACATCGTTTTAGTATACATTTTTTAAAACATATATTTATTTTAAAAAAAAATCAGCGAGAGAGAAGCCCGACCCGACCCGAACCCGAAGCAGTGATTGACATTTTAGGGCCCGACTCGACCCGAATTTCAGGTCGGGTCGGGCTCGGGGTCGGGCGGCCCGATCTTACCTCGACCAGTGTGCTATTGCGCAATTTGCATTTTGTGCATTACTGAGGGAAATGGAACCCCACCTTAAAATGTGCACATCCCATGATCTATTCTCAAGACCCCAAACGGGCAAGAAAAAAACTCAAAACCCCATCCAAAGAAGAATCCTTGAGAAGACCCCACCGATGAGGGTGTAAACATCTGCGAAAAATCATTCAACTTTTCACACATTGGGTCTGGTTAAAAAGAAAAATAAAAAAATCGGTATTTTAGAGGTTTATTTTGCCATTGCCCCCCTCAAAAAAAATTATCAATATGCCAGTTCCCCAACATGGCCGAGGCTGCAAGGGCTCTTTATAGCCGCTCGTGGCTCGAGTCTTGATTGTTTAGGTTCGAAAAGATCAGTCACAATACAAATCTGCTGTGTTTAGGTGTGGTAATACCATGAAGGGTGAAGAAAGGTGTAAGGAGCTCCCCGACGTTGGTGACACCACTGGAAAACGGCCCAAACGTAAATGCCTGCAGTGGCACCCACTACTTTCGAAAAAGGCTCTGGATTTCTCTGAGGAGGAGGAGGAGGAGGAAGAGGATGAAGAAGAGCTGGCTGAGGTGATGTTGTGTTTTTTTTTTTTGCCTCGATATTTATTGAACATTTTCCACATTAATGCCATTGAAAACAATGACAAGGATTAGGTATAGGCGAGTACCAATACCGGGTATTGGTATCGGGCTAATTTCAAGTTGTAGATACTCACCACCGCAGACATTTCTGACCGATGTCCATTAAAATGCTTTTTCTGTAAATTTTTGTATATTTATATGATTTATATTAATGGTTTGTAGTTATTGACCTGTTTTTTTACACACACATTCTAAAGTCAAACTCATTTCACATTGTGGGCCACATACGGCCTCGGTAGATGTCAAGTGGGCCGGAGCATTAAAATTATACCAAACTTTGCTACAAATAACCAAAATATCATTTCTTTTCTTTGTTTTGGTATAAAAAAGCAAAAGAAAATTAAAATTAGGAAAATGCTGAAATTTAATGAACATATCTTTTACAAAACATTTCATGAAACACCTTGAATCTCCTTAGACAAATGTGCAATTTACTTTTATCATTCACATATATGCATTGCAACTGATCCCACTGATTGTACAAAGGCACAAAACTTGAACAAGTAATTGGTATTGAAAAATATAGTCATGCACTCTAACATTAACGAGATATATAAAGAAAGGAATTTTTAAACCATTTACACATGTGCATATGAAATCTAAATTTAATCCCTGCCTCCACTTTACAAACTAAGAAGAGTGCTATTAAATGTGTAAAGAAGAAAGTATTCACGTCTTGTAAATGTGTAAACTTCACACATGAAACACACATACATCGTCGGAGAATACGGCTTTGATGCTCATTCTGTGACTTTTATGGATTTTTTTTTCCCTTTTAAATTATCCTGCGGGCCTGATCGAACCTCCTTGGGGGCCAGTTACGGCCCACGGGCCGTATGGTTGACACCACTTTCTAAAGTCATGGTTTGTTTTTCAAAAATAAAAACTGTGCTACATATACAGTAATGCAGATGGGACAGTTAAATATGACACATTCAACTCCAAACACACATATGAGAAGGTTTAACATTCTCATAACTCCCTTCATTAAATGTATTGGGCCATGTAATGAATTCTGGGAACTGTGTTGCCTTTACCATCATAATCATCGATATGAACATTAGATAGCTAATGTATGCCGCACGTGGCTCCGGTGGCATTACTACTCATACGGCTAAAGTGTTGCTGCTTTCCATGTTCGTGGATGTCACACAAACCAAATATTCAAAATATGGAGGGCTTTAGAAGTAAAAAAACATTCAAATACATTTTGTCATTGACATGAATTCAAGCTCTATGAAAATCGGTTATGAATTAACAACTTACGACCAGTTTTCAATGCATATGCATTGCCTTTGAGGGAACGTTACCTGCCACCAGCATTGCTAAATTGGACTGCCACTGTGCTTCATATAATGGCAATTGACTGTCGTGTGCTTTTGTAACAAGTTAAACGCACAGCAGATTGACGTGATAGACAGTGGCTCGCATTAGCATTTAGCTTCCAATCAGCACAGGTGAAAGCCTCCAATCACTGCAAATTGTTTTAAATTGGATGGGGGTTGCTTGCTTGGCTTGTACTGGTTATTTGGGTTTGGTCCATAATTCTCAACAATGACATTTTTTTTTTTTTTTAGTTATTTTATTTCCAACTCAGGAGAGTGCTAATACAGTGGTACCTCTTCTTACGAAATTAATTGGTTCTGGAAGAAATTTCTCAACTACAAAATTTTGTAAGTCGAGACTTGTTTTTCATGTAAATGCTCTAATCTGTTCCAAGCCCCCCCAAAATTCAGACAAAAATGTTTTCTAAAGCATAAAAATGCATCAAAATATGTGACAAATACATGTTCAAATTACATCATTGCACAATAAATGAGAGTTGGGCATAATGTAAAAAACAAAGAATGGAGTAAAGAATAAAAATGATGGTCATTTATCTTTTAACTGCGTCCTCATCGTTTTTTGCCCTCTTTAGTTCACGTTCTCTCTCAGAAGTGGTTTTTGCCTGGCGTTTTGTAAAGAACTGATCCGAGGACGTTTGCTTTTGTCGGCTTTTAACAATCCTACGAAAATGTCCAAAGGAAACATCAGCAAAGTGAGCGATCGCCCAACTGGTGAACACTTTCTGGGTGATTCCCATTTACCTAAAACTATCGGAACCCCTCATGGCCCGAGGGGCGAAGGATGAGGACGCTGCATTGACACTATCTATCTAACTATCTATCTATCTATCTATCTATCTATCTATCTATCTATCTAATCTATCTATCTATCTATCTATCTATCTATCTATCTATCTATCTACACACATAGACACGTATGGTAGAGGTCCCTCTTAGCTAAGGCGTAGAAAAAAAGTACTGTGTTTCCGGTAACCCGACCGACCGAGAATTTCTACGTCGAAAAAAAACTTGACGGTTGGCATTTTTTTCAAACAACCCTCTACATTTTTGTGTAGAGGGTTTACATCGGTGCAAACTCTCGCGATATTCACGTTGAGCGCGTGCGTCGTTTGCCCTGTCGTCTGTCAACAACATTGAAACATGGCGGCGGCCGCGATCTCCGACGACAGTTTAAACCGCTTTTTCTGCGTTACAGTCGCATGCTCGCACCATAATGTTAAGAAAATAGCATCCATTGATGTATCGAAAAAAATTCAGCGAACTATTTGATGAACACCACGGGCCGAGTAAAAACCGAGGGCGGAGGAGGACAGCGGCGGAGGCGGCGGTGCGCCCTGGCCCCCCAATTCCGGTGCGGGGAGAAAACTAAATAGGTGACGGTGGCGCCGGCCGCGGAGCGCCGGGTTCAATGTCTTCTTGTTTTATGTTTTATGGTTATTTTGTTTAAATTTTTGATGGGGGAAAAAAAAAAAAAAAAAAACTTTGTCCGACCTACCGACCCTATGCTGAAATTTCATGTTCCCGGAAACGCACTATCTTTTTTGTTTGGCCTAATAGGATGTCAGGATGAGGCTCGGTTGTAGCCAATGGCAGAGCAGCTCTAAGTATGTATAAGTAGCGTTCAAGAAACTCGGAGCTGCGACCAGCAGCCCATACTGTATTTTTACCTTTCCTATGTTGAAATTGTTTTCGTAACAAGAGGCAATATTTTCCTGTTGAGGCATTTTGTCACTTGAAAATTTCGTATGATGAGACGCTTGTAAGTAGAGGTACAACTGTACATGACATCAGATTTCTTCTTCTTTATGTGGGTGCCACCCAGTGTTCAGACTGAGATACCACAGTTGATTTAAACGGTAATAAACTCATGTTGCCAAAACTCTGGATTTGTTCACCCCAATTAGAACGATTTCCAATTTTTACATTAGAAAAAAAATGTACTTTGAGTTTAAAGAACAATATAAAACTGCGTGTCTCAACCGCAAAATGTTTTGAGTATCGTTTTTGTAAAACATCTGCCAAAGTCGACAGGATGCTCAGTCCAACTGTGCAGCAACTTTTGGCTTCCAACCTGCCTGTGAATTATAGAAAAATAATTTCAACAAATTATATATGTATATATTTCTAGATTGCTGCAGTTTTTTTTTTTTTAACCTCGTTTTTTGCTCTGCCAACGGGAGTGGAAGGACATTCTTGTTGGATGCATGATCTGAAAACTGGCAAAATATTTCCATATTTACCCATAAAAAATTTTATTGCTGCAGCATGCCTCCATTTATGTATTGATCTGTCTGTCAGTTTATCTGTCTGTACATCCATCCATCCATCCATCCATCTATCTTCTGACAAGATTATCCTCATGCATTAAAAAATTGCCTTTCTGTACCATATACAGGAAAATTTAATGTACTTTATTTACTTACATTTATGGTCATTTTCATCTCATTGCTACAAATGTTTGACTGGGTGATCATTCAAGTAATGAAAGGTTTGCCCACAAACACATTACGAGCAAATCCACAAGCACTCCTGTTAGGCGTTAAATATTGTTGTCTCCATCTACACGGTTCATGATCTGAAAACACTTGAGCAATGCCGACAAATGCATCGTGTAGCAGAATAATGGCATGTGACTGAAGGAAGAGGAGTGATGACAGCGAGCATTTAGTAGCATACTTTTGCTACTGTCAAGGAGAGAGTCTTCCATGCATCACTTCTGGATCATGGCGGGCTTGTTAGACTTGGCTTTTTTGAACTGCGGCTCATTCACAAGAGTCACCATTCCCTTTTCGCTGTGATTGCCATCATCGTCATCAAGGATGATGACATCTTTGTCTTGTATTTTGCTCCAAATATACTCTGGTTGAGCATCAGCTGTCTCGGCCTCCAGTTGCAATTCTGCGGTGTACAGTTTGGCTCCCCCCCGTCTTAGGCCCCATTATCCCCACATTCTTATTTTCTTCTCCCCTCACATTGACTGATCATTCATCTACCGCAGTGCTGCCATCTTAAGGTGGGGAAAGAATTGCCTCCAGCCCATTACATTTAAAATAAAATCGTTTGACAAATACATTAGTCAAAGGCAGTGGGTGTAACTATTTAGTTTGATGAATGTAGACACCAAAGGAAGTCAGACTGAAGGAAAATTCTTTCTTGTGATATTTACGTATTTCTTTAACATGATCTGTCGTTGATTTAAAAAAAAAAACGTATCAAAAGTAGGCGGCCCGGTGGTCGACTAGTTAGTGTGTCAGCCTCACAGTGTAGAGGTGCAGGGTTTGATTCCAGCTCCGGCCTTCATGTGTGGAGTTTGCATGTTCTTCCTGTGCCTGCATGGGTTTTTTCCGGGTACTCCGGCTTCCTCCCACATTCTAAAAACATGCATGGCAGGTTAATGGAACACTCTAAATTGTCCCTGAGTATGAGCATGGATGGTTGTTTATCGATTGGCTGGCAACCAGTTTAGGTTGTACCCCGCCTACGCCAACGACAGCTGGGAGAGGCTCCAGCACACCCTGCGACCCTTGTGAAAATAGGCGGATCAGAAGATAGATGGATGGATCAAAAGTATTTGTGGTATTACTTAGAATCATATTGGTGACTACTCAAGAGTTCAGTACTTGCACTGGTTTTCGTCTGGACATTATTTCATATTGGACATTCTTCCTCAGGATGTATTAAATTATTTTCCGCAAACACTCCATTGCGACCAGGGCCAGGTTTCCCAAGGCCGGTGTGAAGGCAGACCAGAGGAAGGACAAGAGGACGCAAATGAACAGCGAGCTCGTCGACCGATGAATGCCTTTCTTCTCTTTTGCAAACGCCATCGCTCCCTCGTACGACATGAACATCCTCGTTTGGACAACCGTGGGGCCACCAAGATCCTGGCTGACTGGTGGGCTGCGTTGGAGCCTGCAGAAAAGTTGAAATACACTGATATGGCCAAGGAGGTGAGAACTTCCGGGTTGAGTGAACGCTGGCGCGTCTGGCTGCC